CAAAACACTAACTACTAGTTAAACTAAGCTAAAATGAGATTCGTAGCCTTAATAAAAAAATTATGAAGCTTCTAATAATAACAATAATAATAAAAAAAAAAATTGTGTACTAAAATTTTCATACATAAGCTTTCCAGGTTTAAATATGCGAAAATGTGGATGAATATGCGTAAGTCCACTTCTACAACTGAATTCATTTTTTTTACTGCTCACCCTGATTCTATTACAAGCATCGGTAATATCCACTGTAAAACTGCCACTTTAACTGTTTTAGTTGTGATTAAGTATATATTATAATTATCCTTTAAAATTTGTAAGTGTTTTGTAAATTTAAAAAGTGTTAGGAAATATTTTTTTTGCATAACGCATTGTCGATATAATTTTGTAAATATTGAGCCCCTTTTATTTAGATTACACACACATACCGAGAAATATTATGGGATATTTTCACAAACGTCCTTGTTTTAAATAAATGTAATAATGCTCATTTTCAGTAAACCCTTATTATTTCTCAATGATATTTAAATTTTTCTGTACACACTGTAAATATTTTGTACTATAATAAGTTATTCAGCAGTAAAAATATATGTAACCCGAATTTCATAAATAATTTCCTATCAAATACAATAATGATTTTTTAAAAACTTTTTATGTAATTTTCACTGTATGTTTAAATTTAGAAGTAATTTTAAATACATTTATGACTACTTTCTCATTACAATAACTCAACAAATTTTTTATTGTATTGTGAAAAAAAATAGTTTAATTATCTCAATTTGCTTAAATAACTGCAACAGTAAATATTTTTGTGAATTAAATTGCTTCTTATCAAAAAGTAAATTAGTTTTCAATTGAATCAATACTGTAGAAATTACTTAAAAATCTCTTTAGTTAACTGCCTCATTTTCTTTGTACTTCACTGAACAAATACCGTACAAAAAGCCCAACGTGTCAGCCTAAAAACCTAACAACATACCCTCTAAAGTTAAATCAGTCAAATTTTCCTGCGAATCAGTGAAATGTCGTTTACTTATTGAGATTCTTAACACTTATAATAAGTCAATATCGTGTAACTTTAGAGAGTAAATAAATAAATTAAAAAAAAAAAAAATTCTAAAAAACGTTTAACTACCAAAAACAAGAAAGTATAAGCCAAACGGTCTGGTTCACAGAGCGCGCAGCGACAGCGCGTCCCGTTCTCGGCGACGAGTGGCACGGACTCGAGCGGCTCGTCAACCTTACGCGAGGACTTCACAGGTGGCAAGGAAGACAACAACAAGTTCCAACACCAGCAGCAACAACAATACGGCACTGCGGCAGCGAATATCATCGGCGGAAGCGGTATAGGAAGCAGCTCGCTTGGAGGCGGGGGAGGAGGTGGTGGTGGCCTAAGGGGCGGCCGAGCCTCCCAATTCGCCCCGGTCAACAGTCTTGCCTCGGCGACGCGCACGATAAACCACCACCTCTTCGGCACGATCGCTAGTTCCAAGCACAACACCGGTAATTCGACTCATTAGTGGCCCCACGAGTAGAGCACCTATGCATACATACATACTTATGCATAATACATATTTATTATTACTATTATACGTAGAAACACATACACACACGTCTATAATACCATAATTTTTATTACCTCCGATATTTTTATTATACATCATTGTATATTTATACGTGAATAATTATATTCTCACGCAGCACTACGAGAAAAACGATGCGTCAATTGCACTGTCTGTTACTTGGTTCTCTATTTTTTTATTGTAAATGTTATTATAATTAGAAAGAATATTTTTTTACTTTTTTTTTTTCTTCTGAAACTAACGATCATCGAGATTGTCATGAGTATCGACGATGTAGCTTTTGGCACAAGTATATGTGCATGGACTCGATATCAAGAAATGATTGTATTGTAAATAAACAAAAAGGTGAGAAAAATATGGGAGTTTTTGGTTGCAGAACCAAGTGTAAATGGGTGTAACTGGTTTTCGCGTGCACCTTCGTTTATGAACGTTCGTTGACGAATGTATATATATAAACACGTTTGACATCG